ATTTGTAATAAATGAGTGAAATTCATTGGTGTTTGACATTTCTGTTGCTTGATCATTTACATAGTTATAACAACTCAGACACAACAAATAGGAATGTGTATGGCAAACAGAAGAAACAAACGGTGAGCACGCCATTACCTATGGAGGGTCACATTTCACATGGCATTTGCAGCTCGTGATGTTCCGTGAAATTCAGATCAGTTCCCATTTGCCGTTTCACGGCACATGCTGAAATTTAGCTGGGAGAACTAAACAAACAGAAAAACCATCAGGCACACTTTGATTCCTCCAAATGCTGCCTGAATTATTTAGGTTGTCATGCATTAACTATGAGCGGGAACTGGAATAGTTTTGTGCCTAACACATGCATTCTTGAGTGGGTACGCGCTTCCAACGGGCTCCTCGCCACTTCACATACACTGTGAGAATGATCTAAAAGCCATGCTGCGTCCCCTAGACAGTCAGATAATTATCTACTGAAGCTGGCAGAGCAAAGGATGCCTTACTTTTTCTACAGCTGCTCTGAAAATTCCTTACGATTCTTTGCCATCCGACAATTAAATCGCGGAATAAATGCTGCAGAGAGAAAACTGTCATTTACGGTAGTTCCACGTTTTCCTCATATTTTCTCTCCAAGAAACCCTGATTTTGTCATAATGACCATTTCATTTGGAATGTGAATAATCTACTCACACAAAAAGACACAGAGTTTGAAGAATGAAGCACTGTTTTTTTCAACAGGAAACTTCTTAATCAACCAACCTAAATTTGGGACTTACTTATAGGACTTACTTTGAATGACCACTTATGTTGGCGTAGTTCAAACAGACGGATACAGAACGGAACCAAAGAATGCCAACATCCAAATGGCTTTGGAAAGTTTGTCTAAAAGGGTTCAGACTGCGTTGGAGAACTAAGGTGCTCGCCTGTTATGGTAAATTTACTGTGCACCAAAATCTCCCCACCTTCAGGAGACTGATCAGTTATCCTATCACTGAGTACTTCTCAGGATTCGGGAATTGTTTATATGGTCGGGGGTGGTTGTCAGTCCATCTATGACTCCAATTATCATCATTTGTAATCTAAGACTACACTGCAACAATGACTTTAAACAACCACTAATCAATTGATGGGAACTCTTTCAGAATAAAGTGAGGGGCTTTAGGTAAACATAATCAAGAGGAAAGCCACAACAGTGTTCTTAGGTCCCCGCTGATTAAAATGCCACCACTTTCTGGAAGAGGTGAGAATTCACAGTGCTTCTTAAACAGCTAAAGCTGCTACTCTCAGGGGTTTGCAGAGCTGTAGCAACATCAAAACCATGTTGCTGGAAAGATCATTTATGGATTTGGTTTCTCAAACAGGCCATTGGCATATACTCACACGTTATAAATAATCAAATGACGCCAGTAAAGAATTCAGAGGTTCACAGAGTTTCTGAGGAGAGTTAATTCCACTCAGTCGGTCCCCGAAAAGGCTCCTCCCACCTGTCACGCCACTTAATCACCTGTCCTCCCTCACCGCCTTGTGCATCTCGACCCACCTCCTTCATTAGTCCTTTCGGTGTTATATCACGAACTCGCTGTTTTCTTCCTCCCCCTTTTGCTAGATTGAATGCGTGTTTTATGAAATTGAATCTGAGCAGTCTGCTGACGGGGCTTGGGCTCAGTTTTTTCGTCGGAAGAATAACAAAAGTGATCACAGGCACACAAAGAAATAAACCTTTCAACTGCATTTGGTCTCTTAAACAAAATAAAAATGACAAGATTCTGTTTCTGACAATGATGGTGTTCCTGATGGTACATAACAAATGGCTTTTACACATTTTAATATGGTTTAAGGATACCGATCCATAACTGTAACCTAAATATGGTCTATGATGTATTCTGCGATTACTTTACAATTATAAGTAGCCAGCTAATAATATTTTTTATTTTAGTGGGTGATAGCAACTTTGGTATTTTCCCTACAATTATTTGGTATACATGGCCAAAGCAACTCTTTTTTTCCAACTGCAAACAATCCAAGGATTTCAGGAGATTCTGATTGCTTTTTTGTTTGCAGTACATGACCCAAATCTGTTTCCATCATCAGCAATTTTCATCACAGTTCAGTGTGTCTGTAGCTAGTGAAACGAAACGTTGTGTGGGGAGCAATGAATCCAGCGTAAGTGAGCAGTAGGTTTATCTCTCAGCTTTCAACAGACTTTTTAACACACAAAAAAAGCCAAACTTATACAGCGCCGTCACAAAAAAAAGTTCAATTTTCCTGCTTCCTTTCACATATCTTCGAGGGAGAGTTTCCTCCACGGGTGTCGAGCAAACAATTATAATACAAGATTGAAACTCCTCTGCCCCTCTGTATTTCTAAGATAGGCTCTGATTGTTCCCTATCAAATATAGGAGTACGCAGCCATGGCTCAGATATACTGAAACCGCATCTCACTCAGTTTCTGCTATGAATTTTAATGATAGGTGACGGACATGTCTACTGAGGAAACTAATTGATTTTTCCTTTCGAAAGGGGCCTTTTTTTTCTCAAAAGAAATTCAATATGCGAACACAGTTACACACACATTGACTGACTTTGAGGACGTTTCATTTTTACTTTCATACAAAAGGATGTATGTTGGCTTATTTTTTTTCTGAATAAAGGTTGTTTTTTTTATCTATGTAGTATGGGAAATAAAACTACTTAACATCTTCAATGAACTCAGATTAATGTAATCTAGAAGTAACAAAAAACTTAAACATATAGTGGACATTAATCCCCTTTTCCCTATCTGAAGTCATAAGAGCTTAGAAGCAAAAAATGCTGCAATTTTATTTTGGGCCCTGTGTATGTGAAAACTCCCCATCTACTTGTGAATTGCTCACCATGTAACTCCAACTTCAGACGATTCATTAGCTCAGAAGTGGGAAATACATCAACACGCAGCGCTTTTGCCAGTACTTTATCTCTGGAATTATAACAAGCAGTAAAATCTCACTTCTTACTGGCGCTCTTCCTGTCCAAAGTTGGAATCATCCATCTCCTTTTTTTCACAGTGGATCGGTACAGGACTGTTAAGTGGTATTGCTTATGTAAAAATAACCTAAATGAGCCATATTAAACTGTATATCTGTCCATTTGCATCTTTTGGTATATGTCCTAATCAACGTACCAGGTATGCATGGTCACATTGAGATAATGAAATGTAAACATTTCAGAACAGAATTAGATATTTGGTGTGGGGTCTGATTGGGAGCTATTTACTGCATGTTAATGAACCCTGGAGGTAAATGCAGATTTCAGAGAAAGGCAGACCCTGAGAAAAAGAGCAATAGAGTTGAGCAGGGTAGGTCACTGCAGGCCCTAAAATTATCCGCCTGGATCAAGTTAATAATTAATAGCCTTAAATACCCTGTATTTTCTACTCTGTGTTTGTATTATACGACCACAGAATGGCACAAATACATCAGACAACTGTGTCAACTTGTGAAAAATGCATAATAGGCATGTCCTTGGATTGTAACAGGATTGAAAAACATATCTTTGAAAATGCAATTCAAATAGTGTTGTTCCGTCTTTGTGCTTCATGGACTGTGCTGCAGAGGAGTTTCTTTGAGCTGTTAGCACATTTGAACAGATGTCTGTCTGAGTGAGCAATTCAGTCATGGTTCTCGGCTGCCATCCTTCTTAGGAGATCAGAATAAATAAATAAAAAATAGAAAGAAAAAGGCAATATATACCATCCACATTCAAATACCACACATCTGAAGGACCAGAAGAAGATTTTTGTTTGTCTTCTGTGATGGCTCAAAAGGTTTTGATTTGTACTTCACAGAGAGCCTTTGAAACCAAGTTGTTTAAAAAAATTAACAAAAAAATAAGAAGACTGATTTGAATCATACTGAAACCCAGAAGCAGAAAAAAACAGCCACATACTTGATCAGATTGAAAAGTGAAAAAAGGCCACCAAACATACTGAATAATTCAAAGGCAGAAAGACATATAAAAGCGCCGAGGGACACGGAAAGATAAGGAGGAAGCTCATGAGGGCGTGTGGCTGTTTTCAACGTTGCATATACATTTCAAGAATTGATAAATAAATCATTTGGCATGGAAAAGTACACGGAAAAGCTGTTTAGATTATGGATTCCCTCAACAGCTTTGTTTTGATGCTCTGCATTCAACATTAGTCAGTAAATTCCACGTCCTCATAGTCCTACAGCCCACATCTGGCTTCTGGACCATCATCCTAACCCAAAGCACTTGAAGAACACAGCCCCCCCCCCCCCCCCTTTCTTTTATGTTTCCTCAGTAATGACTGCAAAGCAAAACATGATAGAAACTATGATAAACTTGGAGAGACAACCATGGTGGTCAGAAAAGTATCCAACAGAAAGTCAACTAAGAAGGAAAAGGCAGATTACAAGGACTTGAATTGCAAGAAAACCAAAGATTGGGAGAAATCAGCATCCACGAGCCCGTCTTTATAACGGATGTCTCCATCCTGTCAAGTGCTAAGGCCTAAAAAATTATTAGTTCTTACGATCTCTCTTGTTCTACCTGTTCTCTTAAAGAAAGTGAGGCATGTAGACACGTTCTTTTATAGAATACTTGTTTCTGTTGGCACACTGCACGCCACTTTAATGGCTCTGATAACAATAGAAAGGCCCTTAAAGCGGGCGGTGAAACCTATCCAGCCCGTAAATACAACTCTATGGGAGTTATCCATTGGAAACAATGATTGCTGATGACATATGGCATTAAACAAGGCAATGCACATCCCGTGTGTTTACGGCACGAAAACCTCCGGCGGTTGCAGCCAGATCAGTGCCGTGTGAAACAGAACTGACCCTTTTATTCTATTGAACTCGCTGAGGCTGTTGTGCTCGACAACGCCGGTCCCACGCCTATCACGCGGTATTATGTCCGCGCAAACATATCAGCGAATCTGTATTTATGTATTCATTTGCGTCTATTTTTAAGTACGTTATGAATACGATCCCATTTACATGCGGAGCTGCTGCGTTGGGTTGGAGCGGCGGCGTGGGCCCCCGAGGCGGCCGCCGGCCCCTCCTCTGTGGAAGACAGAGGCTGTGACACAAACGCTGATGAGCTGTGACTCGCCAGGGCTTTTTTTTTTTTTTTTTTTTTCACGTGTGAATCAGAATCGCGCGGTTGCCGCTGCGTGAGCATATGTCAGGAGCTCGGCGCGCCGGGTTTGATAGGTCTAGCGTTCAAGGGATGCCACCCAATAAAAGGTGAAACTGACCATTACACAAACCCAGCACAGCCACAGAAACCTACAGGTATTTCCCTCCAGATCTGAGACTTGGTTGGACTGTCTGTCCTTTGTTGTTATCGTGCCAATTAATTGCTTTACGTGAGCTAACCAAACACCCGGACCTCACTGTGCTAAGTGGCATCTTCTGAACTGAATCAGCTCAGAGAAAATGACTCACGCTGTAAATAATGCAGGGTTAAAGAACAGGGCATAGCTGTTGGTGGTCTTTTTTTTATAATGGCCACTTTCAGGTTTGTCGGTGGTATTTTGAACTGGACCACAGAAAAAGTCAGAAACCTGATGGATGATTGCAATGACTCCACAGCCCCTCTATGAGAAAAGGGATTATCTCTTGTGCTCGTAAATGCAACCGATGCCCCCAGTATTCGTTTTTATTTTGGGATATTTTCTAAAAACGGCAGGACGACAAAATCATCCATGCTGCTCATAATGCGGGAATCCACAGCGGCAAGTTTGATGAATGTTTTTTTACTCTGTGTACAAGCCAGACGTGGCAAATTAAACAAATATCTTTTTGTTTGAAACCACATGAATTCATAAAACCCTCTGAGGATTTGCCTTTTCTTTTGTGTGAAGAATTTATGTCCAATTTAAACTGGACGGAGGTTTGATGTTACATACTGAATTTCTTTCTCATGAGTTCGAAACATTTAATACTGTTTTTTGGTGGGTTTTTGAGTGTGATTTTTAAAGCCTTAAACGCTGTGTAGAATTTGATCCAAGTGTCCTTTAGTATAGCGGGTTAATGGTGGACTCCTGTGGCTGCACAGCAAGCTCAAATAATCATCCCGCCACCCCCGTGCTTGATAACTGAGGGATTTGTGCCGATGTGTGATCTGACCAAACAATTCCCCATCGATCTCGTCTTTTCCTGGAATGTGTGGAAGCAGCATTCCGAACCGGAGCCATGCTAACATTTTCTTCTCGGAGAGAAGAAGCTTTCTCCTGCAACCCCGCTCAAACCATTCCCAGACAGATGGGCAGCATCAAATGCTTCTCTGAGATCAAAGTTCTTCCCTCCTCAGGATTGGGTCAACACATTTGATTAGCATCACTTCCTGTGGAGTCATTATGGGTGGATGTTTCCCAGACTGCTTCAGTCTATGAGAATAACATTTAGTTGATCAGATATTTTATTTCCCTCATTTTAAAAACCAGGTCAAGAAAATACCTGCCATGTAATCAAAGGACGGAGGACGACCGTTTCAGGACTAACTGCACTCTGCTGACCCCGAGCAGTTCCGCTGGAGTCATTAGAGAACGTGCTGTTAAGCACTAGTTTGATCATTCGGCATCTCTACGGTGACTCACTCATTCTTTTTGACGTGTAAGCGGCCAAATAAATGAGTACTCAGGCAGTAGGAAATGTCAGTCACCCAGAGGAAGTGATGGCCGACTGACTCTGGGCAGCCCTGGCTAACCCAGAGACCCTACATTTGTAGCAGATCTGTAATACCAGCTGTAATTACCACCTCATCTGGATATGCATCCGGTGAATCTGAGGGAGCTGTCGGGAATGTGAGAGACAAGCTGGGATTCCTGGCCACGCGTGGCAGCACAGGAATAATGGCTGTCTCCGAGGGTAAATGGTTTTCGGGGGGCATGGGAAAACATCACCTGAGTTGTAGTGTATGTGTGCTCACAAATCCGATTCATGCTTGTCATTTTTCCCCTTTTTTTCCACCCTTCCTTTTATGGTCTACACTTCTTCACCTATTTTGCCCTAAACAACACTTTTCAAATCACTTCCAAAATCAACAGGGCTCTTGTCAGGCTTAAGCCAATCTCCATTTGAGATCTAAACATGGAAAAACATGGGAAAGTAAATGCTATTATCATTATGAAGTCTCTGCTTAAATGTGAGGTCACCGTGACCATCACAGAGCAGACGGCGGGGGCTGAGTCAGATCAAAATGACTCAGTCGGGGTGCGTTTACTGCCACAAAAATAACTCCTCCTTCCAGCTATCTGGATTAATTAGCAAGGTTTGGGTTTCCCAGCCAGACCTGTGCTGCTGCATGGGATCATTTAGAGAGGAAGCCTTTTCCTTTCAGGCATTTCGGCGTGTTGGCAGGAAATGAAGGTGTCTAATTAATGGCATTAATAATGGCTGCATGCCATTTGGGCAGAACTTTCAGGTGTCTGCCTCTGGGACTGATGGCTCGATGAAGGGTTTTGCCGGACACGTGATTGGAACTAATGAAATTAGCTGGACTCCGGCCTGCTCGGCTGCGATAGGTCAGCGCATCTGCCGTGAGGAAGCAGCGCAACCTTATTTGATTGATGAGGGGAATCTCTCCGAAAGGCACAGCCCAGCTTCGGAGTTGGAATTACAAGCATTTGTCCTGGAATGTGTCTTTAAAAATCAATACCTGCGAGCAGTGAAACATTTCCCTAATTTTTTGTATTATTGTTAATTAACCACTGAAGGCTTACTCCAGAGGGAATGTTTATGTACAGAGAATCTTAGTGTTGCTGGTAGGCAAGTCTGGTGAGGTTTGAGGAGAACTACACTTGGAGTATCCCACAGAGATTGAATAATCTTATTTTTTATATCTTAGACTTTGCCATTTCCCAGTCAGCGGAAAGAAAAACATTTAGTGGAAGCTATGCTTTAAAGGTGTAGGATTGTGTCTACAGGTGAGCATTAGAGGGTCTGTAGCACACTGACACAGCTTCATATCTTTTATGTTATCTTACTCAGCGACTTTTTAAGCAACACTTGAAGCAAAGTAACGCATGCATTACTGAACCTTTTACATGATTCAAGATTTAACTTGAGAGATGTAAAAGAAAAACACGAGAAGTGGAAAATAAAAAAGAATAAAGCTAAGCCATACTCATATTTTTACCCAGGTATGTGGGGTAAGGTGACCCGGTCAGGGTGGCATTGCTCACTTTTTCTTGTTATTTAAAAAAACAAACTCCTAAAACAGCTGGCACGGGGGATCTGAAACGGATGGCAACAGCTAGCTGCTAAAAATAGAACGGGCCGATTGATTTTACCTGCCAGGGAGACGGCTGACTGCCCCGCTGTGTCGTCGATGTACGCAGTGGTGGTGGATATAGGCTTTCTCCATGTTGGGGAAACCATACAGGGCCACAAAAATAATGAAGGACCCAAAGAGGAGCCACTTTTCCCAAAGTCCACGCGCATCTGAAATTTGTAGTGAGGGATAGATATAGCTCTATAAGATCTCCCAAAGAATATATATATATATATATATATCTGTCTCTTTGTTCAAATACGATTTGGATTTGAAAGACAAATAATGTTCACAAGGGAAATTCTGTCTTCCGATTTCATGTGGAATGGAACACTGACTAGTTCTGTTCTATCAACACCACAACACTCAAACTCAGATTATGAGTGAACAAAGAGCCCCTCAGGAACCAGTATAGTTCTTGTTCCAACTCTGGATCTGATTCAAAACAAAAACAAAACAAAAAACCTGAGGCTTATTCTTAAAAATGCCCTCTGCTGTCACATGACAGGCGGGTTTCACAGGGACTTTTCTGAGGGGGTGCCAAGCCCTTCTGCATTTGTTTTTGCTCATTTGTTCCAAGTTTCCAAACTTCTCCGACCAATTTGTCTTCAAGCCGTCTTTATAGCGCTACTCTGTCCAGAGACTGATTTATTATGCAAATGTTCATTGTGTTATGACAATTCATCCTAATCTTATAAGTCAGGCATTTTTTCTCAATTTACTTGTTTGGCTTATTGAGCTGGTAAGGGAAGCTGTTAATTAAAATCTGACCAAATAGCTGCCCCCCCCCCCCCCCTACACTCTTGAGCTGCCATGATGCAGACCGTGAGCTGGACGCAAATCTTATTCTTTTCCTTTTCTGTGGCCATCTGAAACCTGTCCTGCTGCAGACAGAGGTGGACTGAGCCGGTGGCCGGCTGCGTGCGCCTCTGCATAACCTCATTAAAAGCCGGTGAGACGTGGCAACAACTCCTTTGAGACTAATTACGGCGAAAAAGGGCTTGTTTTCCTCGGGTTTCTGCCTGGCCGTCGCGATTCATGAATAATATCCTCAGCTCATGGGCGCTCATTTCTTTATCAACTATTCAACTATTATATCAACTACCGCAGAGAGGTTAAATCAGTAAAATCGGACCTCTGACCTCCTTCGGGACCCTTCTTCCTCAGCCGGCCCCGGCTGATTCGCCATCGACCTAAAGCTGGCGCAGTATTTTCCTCATAGGCTCGTTTACCAACCCTCTTTGAAGTCTTTCTTTCCGGCATCCTTTTGTTCAAACTAACGTATATTAAAAGCAGTTGCTTCAAATGCCAGGAGCTTACTGTGTTTTTTATTCAAGGGGATGGGTTAAGTACCCCCGCAACAAACGTGGTATGCACCGAGGACCACGCTTTCCGTCTTAATCTGGCCTGAGCATATTCACGGAGCTCTGCGTTAAGCGCGGCGGTTTGTTGTGGACGGTGTGTGGGACGGAGGCTAGGGAAGCGATTAGAGTTACAAGCCCAGATAATTTCCCATGAGAAAAAACCAGGTCCGCGGCGAGACGCCGTTCAAAGTCGGAAGGAGCACCCAAGGTGGAGTACGGCGGGATAGATGAGGTAAGGCGGGGGAGAAAAGGCGGGGATGCATCAGTGAGGAAAGAGAAAAAGATCCTTAAAAGGTAGCCATCAGAGAAGTAAGAGATAAAACGCATTAGTGCCGTTTGATGCACTTATTTTAAATGCAATTTTTTTTACTTCATTCATCAATTCAGGCACGAAGCAGCTGATGTGGGTATCTGAAGTGAGGGCTTGCCTGAGAGAGCTCCGGCTCTACCTATCCTGACGGTCATTTCCTCCGAGTCCGGGAGCTGGAACGACGGCGCCTCGGCTTTCTCTTTGGTCAGCTTGGAGTCAGGGGGCAGCGCCAAGGCGGTGTGGGGGTCAGCGCCGACGCCCTGACGATGATAGAGAAAGACAGTTTCCATCAAGTCCATTTGACACACTGCAGATTGACACATTAGAGTCTATTTAGAGGAAGGAAACCCAGAGACTGGATCCAAGATGGTTCCAGGCGAAGAAATGTATGTTCAGAACAAGGTTTAAATGAGCTATTTATGCCTATTGACCGCAACCTTACAGGCCATCGCTTCATTGCAGATTCAGCCGAGCTATCGGAAGTAATGAATGTAAATCTGATTTTAAAAAATCATTCCTTATCAAGTTAAACACTATTGGAGAGGCTATTTTTCTTGAAATGCCTAATAATTTCTCGAGGACGGTCGGATGAAATACGGCCTAAAGGACCTCGGTAAAAACGACCTGCTGACCTGTTCTTATAGTAGATTTTATTGAGAGGACGGGTTGTGTGATGGGATGTGTGAGGATTTTGCACCGCAGAGGCTGTCACAGAGTTTGAAAATGCACAAGCTCATAAAACCTTTACTGGGAGACATAGAAAGGACACATTCGCTCTTGACAATTATATCAACAAGTGGAAACAGGAACCCCGATTAAAAAAACAAAACGTGAGAAGACTCTGAGCCCTAACAGAGTCGCAGCCATTTCTGCTGTAGAAAAATCAATAGTCTAGCGGTCGCACGTGAGCGCTGAAGCATCGGTTTGTGCACTTATTTGCTTCGCGCGTGAACGCTCTTCAGGAAGGAAACCAAGTCTCATTTTACAGATGGGACACATGAGTTTTGCAGCACACCGCTCCTGGAGATTTACCCGGGAGAAGAAGGTAAAATAAACCTGCAGGCTCAGTGGCACAGAAGGCTGGGCCACTAACTTTGAAATGCTGTATAAGTTTTTGCGCTTCAGAGAAATAAAAAGTAGGCAAACAGAACTTGTGCGTGACGAAAAAAGAGCCGACATTTGTTGTGCTTCTGTAAATTTGACAGGTTCAGTGGTGTCGTTATCGCTGACTCGTTTTTAGGAGGCAGTCGCTTTAAATCTGATCTAGTTTGATTTAGGTGGGGAAAAAGGCACTCCAGCTTTTGATGGTGACTCGGTGTACTCCCCAAATCCCTCACAAGCTTTTTGTTTCTCAGATATAAAATGATGGCTAACTGGATCTGAGGATGCTTCTTTTTTAATTAGGAGTTCTCTGACAGCAGGGGGCTTTGGCTCCTATTGAACCAGTTAACGTAAAGCTTTAGGGAGCATTTTCGTGTGTAAACCATCAAACCGCTTCCAGGTTTTCTTTAACAGTCCGTGTATTTTTTCAGTTTTCTTTTTTTTTAAAGCCAGTCGATGTAAAGTGGGGAAAAAAACATTTGTGTGTGAAGAAAAACATATCTATATTTTACAATATGAAGATGTAGAAAGCATCCAGATGTAGGTGCACAAAGGGGAGGCCGATGATTCAAATTCATTCAACAATGAATAAAGAAAATAAGTTCAAAGCATAAGACCTCACACTAGGTGAACTACAACAGACAATATGGAGCACCATGTGAAAAAAACAACACAAAATAAACTACACAACCAACAGACCTTGACATGTAATTAGATTGGGGGGGAAAAAAACTCACCTCTAAGTCACTTTAGAAACAAATTGCTTTCATAACGAACAAACTCACTCAAGATTTCCATCTTTTCATTTTCAAGTTTTGACGTGAGGCAAAAGTTAGCAAAATCTCCACCTTCCTGCTTCACTGATTTGTAACAGAAAACAATCATTATATCACCGAAAACCAAACAGAGCTCGCTCCTCCTGGAAGCTAACAAACCCCCTGGCAAACTCAGAAGAAATATTGGGTGATCCGAGGCAACAAAATGGACCGTTTCATGAAATATGATGGATGACTAAACAACGGAGGAACAGAGGCGGTTCTCTTCTTGAGAAGTACTTCTCCACAGCAAACACATCCAGCTGCTGCAGTGTGACCCCGGCAGCCAGGTCAACACTGTGCAACAATTGCTCATCAGGATTTTTAAAAAATCCTCGTCTGTCCAACTGAGGAGAAACCGGCATCACCCAAGACCATCGATGGATGAGGCAAGGGGACGTGACTGGAAGCACAAAGAAGATCAGTTTCTGCTCTGAGGGGGTCTGGTATAGAAAATCTTTCTTTTTCTCTCTGTTTTTGGATGATCTTCCAAATACACAACAACTTTAAAACTCCTCAGAACCACAACTTTTATAGCAAATTTGATGTGACTCATCTAATTTCCATTCCACTTGTTCTTCCAAGCCCTGTTTTCTGAGATGGAGATTATTTCACTCCTTTGAATGCATTGATTATGGGTAAAACTATCACATAAACACAATTGTAATCTGGCTAAACTAGCATGAGGGCTTGCAGGTGTCTTTAGACAGCATGCAAACAGAAAACGGTCCGTCAAAGGATCCCTGTTGAAGCCTATTTGGTTGAACCTCTCCTGCAGATTCTTGTTGTTCAGGGTGTTTTACAAACTCTTAAAGCTATCTTACATTTGAATAAGGGAAGTCTTTTCCTCAGGGGAGCTGTTACAGTGGCAGTGGGACAAGGAACACTGTACCTAAGTCTACAGACATTGAGCAAAACCTGTCATGCACATTTGGAGGAGACTTGAGGAAATTGAGTTGCGGTCAACTTTAACTCCTTATCTTTATAGCGAAAAGCCTTGTCAGCTACATGCTTTTCATTTCTTACTGCACCCAGACGGATTATCGTCTATGAAAAGACATAGCAACGTTTCCCCACAAAATACAGACTATTAGGAAGGTCAGAGGTCTTTCCTTTTCAGAGACCAACATGGACAGTTAAATCCACACGCCGCTGCTTTATGAAATACATCTGGCTTAGGAAAATCTCCGACAAATCCTCCCATTTGTGTGGCTCTCTGAGTTGGCGTGCGGGTCCTCTACATATCTCTTAGCTTAGCCTGGTAGGCCTACTTTGCTTTCTCACCCAGATTACGTTTTTCTTTTACACAGTACAGTTTTGCAGAACATTATTTTTCCTCTCTGTCTCCTACTTCTTTTATTAACTATGCTTTTCTTTACGACATGTGCGATGTGGCACCTCTCGCATCTCTACAGGGTCCCCTTCAATCAAGCATTCCCACCTGTGCTTCATCAGTTCCCCTCCTGCAGTTAATCTATCAGGCTCTCACTGTGACGGGAAAAACTGTTTGTTTTTTTTAGCAATCGTCCTGTCTTTACAAACTAACTTGTGCTCAACACCTCATTTTCTTCAGAAATGGTGCACCGTGTTATTCTCCCCCCGACAGACTAGTCACACCACCAATTACAGCTGGGGTCTAACTGGGGTTAAACGCGTCCTGCTCCTGAGTGTTGCTAGTCTCCACAGCAGGATGGATTAGATTCCGTGAGCATTGTGTGGTGCAATTCTGGACCCCGGTTTGTAAATCGGCCGAGGTCAGAAACGACCCGAGTGCAAAATCTTAAGGGGGAACTTTCCAGAGCGAGCACAAATCTAACAACTCACGAGAGCGTGAACTCGTCAAGACAAGATGGATCCGGCCCGGCGTGAGCTCCCACTCATCCCGCGCTGCCTACCGACTGCCACTTCTGTCAGTTCATCTCTCGCTGAATCGCAAAAGAGCCGAGGAGAATTCAGCAGAATTCCTGCCTACTGGATTTTCCGCTCAATAAAAAAATGTTTAAAAAAATGAAGTGTGTGGTGGATAAAAAGCATAAAGAAATAACCTCAGTTGTTGTTGTCAAGGCATGGATCAGTTCAAATATGATTGTCTTGGTGCTCCGGTACATGGCTGTGGGGAACTAAGTGGTTTGATATGTAGCAAAGGGAAAAGACAGCATCTGCTATAATGCCCAAAAAACGTCAGATTTGCATCCCAGTGTCGCACACAGGGTGCTCTGCCGCAGATGAAAGAGAGCTCTCCGTTGAGAGGTGAACTCTACTGGGCGAGTAATAGGACACCCCTACCTCTCCCCTCTGTGGAGGAGATTGCAATATCTCCTGGTCTGAGCATTGTTAAGGGCCCCCATCCACCAGCTCCTGGAGCTGTTTCCCTCAGGCAGATACCACAGGTCAGCAGAGGCACACACCCCCGGACTCTCACAGCCATTACAAATTTAAAAAAGGTAAGAGCGAATATGAAAAATGGATCAGTGCTTCTTTGCGCCACGACTTTTTAACACAAAAATAATACGAATGATTTATTCGACATTTTTCAAAGTCCTCTTTGTTCGGTCTAATATATTCTCATGCCAGAAAACTCATTTTCACTGTCTGCATTTACAGTTAGACTCAAACCTATTATTTCCTCTTCTATTAAAAAATGATAGCTTACACGGAGAACGCAAACGTTTTTTTCCTTTTCTTCTTTTAATTTCCACTCTTATTCCTTTTATATTGATTATAATAAGTTCTTAAAGTGGCGAGTCAGCGATTAATCCCCTAACCTTTTTCAAAACCCAATATGCTACAGTTTCTGATAAGTTGATTAACTCATTGACTGCCAGCCATTTTCAGAACAGAGAGTCCCCCACTGCCAGAGTTTTTTTAGCATTTTGACTGATTTGTCAAGAGCCACAGAATAATTTGTGGTATGACTATGTAAACACCGAACACACCAAAAGAAAGAGCAGACTCTCTTCTTTCATCAGGAAAATCTTTTTGTTTCTACCTTATTCCGTTCTTCCTCGACTTGCGTCTCACCGGCGACATGTTCTCTAATATCGAACCGTTACCTTTTTCTTATTTGCCTACAATCTATGCTCATCTCCCATCAAAAGTGACACTGCCACCTAGAGGGTCAATTTGTTACTACATACTCTGTCTAGAAGCCGATATTTACGGACAAGCTTTAGCAGATCGTCCCTCAAGCCATTCTCGTTGAAAAACATAAAAGACGTCTATAGACGTCTTTGGCAGCCAATGAGTTAATGCACGACTGAACAGATAGAAAACCATTTTTCTCATTCACACAATTCCTATACCCCCTTTAATCGAGACTTACTGGAGGGGCTGGAGCGTAAAAGTAGTTCCCATTGGGGTAAAGGCAGTGTTTCCCTGGAGGCATCGCCAGCCCATCAGGGAGCAAACTTGGCAAACTAAGGGATTAATCCTGGGATTCCTCATCAACCTTCTAAAGCTCGTCCTAATCCGGTTTCCTGCTCTTTACGCGTTCCCTGGAATCACCACAGATTGGTAATATCCAAATCGCTCTTTTTAAATGCATTCAGAGCGACCATTTGCTGCCAACATGTGCATTCGCTTGTGGATTTTTCCGCTCTGTAGTCCTCTCTGAGGTGAATCATCAAGTGTGCCTTTGAGATCAGCAATTGCTTTTCATTATCCTCCAACCTTGCAAACGCATTTCCTTAAGAGACCTCGAACTAATTTACCTTTTTGGGGAACTCAAATGAGTTTTGAAGGGATTAGTAAGTGATTGTCTGTAGTTCACTTGATGAACAGTGACCATGACAGGACATTTCCATGGGCAAACAAGGAGCCACTAAGAAGTTGGACGTAATCGTTAGCGTCAGTGAAACCAAGCCAATGTCAAAACACGCCGATGACTCAGAAATTAGAAAGGCTGTTATGCAACTGTTTCCTGAAAGGAACTTATGTAGAAGAGACGTTCTGACAGGCTGGTGGAATCATTCTTTGTTTTATTTGCTTGCGTTACTTTTTTCTGGTTTTTTTTAATAAAGTTTATCTGTCGTAAGAGGAGAAAAATCTGGTGGGCGATCGGTTACAGCTGCATGACTTCAAAACAACAATAAAACTTTACCATCAACCCCATTAAATATGACCTTTTATCCAATATCAGAAACGACCTGAGAAAAACAAATGCATATTAGGCTGAGCACTGAATCAGCGCTGTGGAGAGATGGGGGCTTAATTGAGTGGGTTTTAAAAATAACATCCAATTTGGTAAACACAGAGCCTACATATTCATTAGTAAACCATTAGCTGAGTAATGTCTAAAAGTGAAAGCTTAAAAAAAACACACACAAACCCCCCCCCCCCACTCAAATCCATATTTCCTCCTCTTTGTCTCTGCTGTGTGTCATCCCGCCGTGTTTGTCTCAGCTGGGTAAGAGGCAGGTAGAACGATGTGAGAGCTTCAACAAGAACTGGATGTGCTTCTGTGTTTTTCCTGTTGTCATATTGATCATCATGAAAACCTTTTTTTTGTCTATCTCTATTTTAAGCACATGTTGATCCATTTTCATTCGAGGAAAAAAAAAAATCAAACGAGAAAATGAGCAATTAAGTTGAAAAGTTCAAAACAAAAGGAAGGTGAAGTCTTCGCGGCGCTACTCTCGATGGGATGTGTTTGTTTACGCCATACTACTGACATGAAATTAATTCTAAATCTTTGTTATTTTGTGAAATATCCATGACAACGTCCTCAGCTCAGTATTTCAGTGTTCTGCTTTGTGTTCCCTCCATGCAACAACATCCAGCTTTGCATTAAAACTCCCAAATCTCATCCACAGAAAAATGCTAAATTTGATCTGTAATTTGTTCATTAATTCGATGCTTTATCAAACAAAAACAGAACGAGTTTAAACAAATTATTTCCAATGTAATCATGGGCAGAGAAGATAAGTTTAAAATTCAAAGGCCAAGGGAAAGAAAAAAAAGTTGTACGAAGACAAAAATGACACCATTAGAAACTATCTACAATAAGTACATTGACCGGTTATAGGTGAGGGAGCCAGTATTGGGTATAAAAGGAGCATCCTTCAAAAAGTAGTCAGTAAGATGGGAAAAATGGTCTTGAAACATCTATAGACTAGAATATTGTGAGATTCTGCTGTTCTTGTGCCATGGTTGATTAAATTTGAAACCGTCATGCCAACAATGATCGATACAGCCATGTTGGATTGGAGGTACGATGCTAAATCATTTTGGACTCAAGAATCCAGAAATGCACCCTGACACTGAGTTACGTCAGACGGACAGCTGTAATTGGCTCGCATGCAGCTTAGGAAGAAGTCAGCCAGAGGTTTGTTGGTTTTTCTTCCCCATCTGAGTGGGTGCATGTGGAATTTTGTGTAAAGGTGCCTTATGAGGATTGTCCTGTTACTATTTAAAACAATTCTGTGGATACTGTCTGTCAAATTAGCATGTACCAGTTGGTGAGAGTCGTTCTGGGCAGCACACAATCATGGGGAAGATGTTGCATGAGTACTTTCAAACATATGCCGGAAACCTGCAAGAGCAGTGCAATAAGGCCACTGATAATGGTAAAATAATACTGATGCAACACAATGGAAAACACGCCTCTACACCAAGTTTTTAAAGTTTGTTTTTCATTTCTAAATCCAGCAAAGTTTGTCGTTGAAGACGTGAAACAGAATATTTCTTTGTATTTGTGTCAAGTAAATAAAGGTTTGAATTAATAGAAAATGAAAGATTCAATATTTTCTTGCATTTTTGAAAATGTTCAGGCAATTCTGGAAATAGTTTCTGTTATTGGGCGCCACTAAACCCTAAAAGGACGGTGAAATGACATGGAATAATTAAGAAAAGAAGTTTCCAGGATGGAATACAGCACAGTTGTAAAATATAATGGGACAATCGCATCTTGGAGCATTGAGTTAGCCCAAATGAGATCGGATTGCTCTGGACTGATGACTTATACCAGCTGCAATAAGGTCTATGAGAGAGATGCAGCCCTGGGGTAAAAGGGAAGAAAATAAATTGGATGAGCTGTGTGCTTGACATTTGAACATTTTGTATCACTGTTAGCCTGAAAACACGATTGGAGTTCAGAGAACATTCACGAATGTCTGCCCAGTGTGTAACTTGACAGTTGGTTGGTAGGTTCTGTAAATCATTCGCATTGATACTGGATCTTTGATCGAACGTTACCTTTTTTGTATTGATTTTGTGACTGAGAGCAATCAACTTTTCCTGAGGAAAACCTCCAGAATGCTCCTCTTTCATGTGATGACAGCGCATCCTGTGCATGGAAATGTGTGAGAGCAAGTGAGTCAGTGTGTGTTAAGCTGAAAAAGAAAGTGTGTATGTGTGTGTGTGTGTGTGTGTTGGCGTGCGTCACATCACAGATCACTTCACACACCATCTCAGAGAATGTTATTAACCTACAGTGGCCTTTGGTGACAATTCATGATAGAATCTCATCAGCAGGTCCTGCCTCAGCATTAACACATGAGTCGCTTTGTCACATAAAAAAAAGAAAAAGAAAAAAAGTCACCTTCTCTTTCTACTTGTGATGTTTTATACTGTACTTTTAGATCAGAACGGTTCCAAATGGGCAGGTGAGGGTGACAGAGAACTATCCAATCATGTTTAATGGTTGTGTGATATGAATCTTTAAAACAATAGCCAATTCCAACCTGATTATTTGGAAAATATTTTCAACCGTTCAGGGAATTATTACTTAACTCTTATATCAATATCCAGTAACTGTTGTTGAGGTAGTAAATTAAAATTAAATTAAATTAGGACCACTCTATGGCATCTGTGGGATCTTGTGTGCCTTTTATACTGTGGAGTTTATCCTGGGTTGACCTTATGGGACTGTCCTGGGGATTGTATCATTTCTTTTATCAGGATCACAGTTTTTAAAAGCCATTCCGCACAATTTACTGGTTCTTTACTATAATTGTTTCTGTCCCATCGTAAAGCCATGCAAAATTTTGTAATTTCACATAAAGAGATGGGTGCTCGTAACACCACAATGTTGAGAATTACATGGAGAATTCCAAATTCAAAGACTCCATTACATTTAATGAGCGTTTTAGTGGAGTTAGGTCTTCTGAGGAGTGCAGTGAGCACTTTTGCCTGCTTTTCAATACCATATAGAGATAGGTGGGCGAATGTTATGTGACAACAGAGGTTGCCATCAATCCAATCCCCCCCTGCAGTCATGACGGGCATACTCTGAAGAAAGATTAATGGCTGAAGGGGGCGCGATAAGCTTTAAATCAGAGTTACTGTCAGGTATCTTTTTCAACCAGGTCAGATCTCAGACAGGTCGGGTCAGATTTCACCTGCTCCGGAGCGTTCCGTGCTCAGGTTGGGATGACATCATCGGATTTGCAGTCGGCAGAATCAAACCGAGGGTAAATAATTGCTGGACAGCTTTGATGGCAGAGATTTCCCACTTGAATCTGTTAATCTTTAATCGACCCTGTTGACCACTCGTGAGGGCTCACAGCCAGTGGAACGTGTCCCATCTGAAACCTTCCGGCCAAAGAGGGTGTGTTGGAAAACTCAGTTTGTGTCAAGTTACCATGGCAACCAAGAGTTTGTGATGTTTTTTTTGTTTTTTTTAACAGGAAAAATGATTTCACAAGAAATTATCTTTATGGGTACACCTGCATGTACGATTATAAAGTTAACTCAGGGAGCTTTAAATTGTTTTAATGACCGTATTAGTACCGTCTCATAGCTGGATGCTTTCTGTACATTGCGCGGCAGTAATTTTCTACTATGCACACGTTCTTTTGAGTAAATAATTGCTGCATTCGTGCAGAAGAATGTTTAATTAACGGGTCCAGCCAGCATTGTCTGTTTCCTCACAGCGGATCTTTAGATTTATGCCCCGTCTGTTCGTCAGGAAAACGCTAACTAATCACTTCCATCTAATGGATGGAAATTTGGAAAATGGTCATTTTCAATTCATAAAAGGTAAAGCTGAAAAACCACCGCAGAACAAAAGCACTGAAACATTCACACCCTCGTCATGGAAAATGACCTTTCAGTTGTCAGAAAAAGAACCATCTACTTTTTTCCCCCCCTTTCTGACTCTAAAGAACCATATGTTCATTAAAAATCTTGTTTTTTTTCAAAGCAGCGGGGTGCAGATGTATGTCTGCATGTATGTATAAGTGCATATCTAACAGAATTTAAGTGCGGTCGACTTTCTTGTTTGCCAGGCCCGGCGATTTCACACACTCCTCAATGACTAGAGAGGAGGCCCCTGATCCCTGTGCGCGGCAGCGGGACTGGATATGAAAGCAGTCCAGCTATCTGATGTTTGTGTGATGTATTCTGTGTGAAAAAAGCTGGAGAGCTGTCTCCGAGGACTTGTCACACAGTTTGATGAGAAAAGCAGGA